TAGCGGTGAGCGTGTAGCAGACGGCGCAGCTGATGGCAGTCTTCTTCATGCAGGGTCGCGGCGGCCGAGGAGAGGCGTCGCGCCATCGCCGGCGAGCGCCGCGCCCGCTACCAGCTGCTAGAGAGCAGGCGCCGAGAAGCTGTGCAGAGGCGGGCGGAGGTTTTCGCCGCTGCTGCCGCCGTCGCCGCTACTGCCGCTGCTGACGTTGTCGCTAATGCTGTCGCTGCTGCGGCTGATGCTGCTGCTGCTGCTACCGCCGCTGCAGTCGCTGCTGCCGCTGACGTTGTCGCTGATTCTGTCGCTGATGTTGTCACCTCCGCTGCCGTCGCGGCTGCCAACGACGCTGTTACCACCGCTTCCGCTGATGCTGCCGCTGCAGCTGACGCTGACGCCACTACTGGTTCCGCCACTGCCGGCGAAGGTACCGCTACCGCTGACGCTGACGCCACTATAGATTCTGCAACTGCCGGCGACGCTACCGCTGCCGCAGTCGCTGCCGCAGTCGCTGTCGTCGCCGCTGGCGCTGCCAACGATTTTGTTACAGCCACTGCTGCTGCTGCTACCGCCGCTGCAGTTAATGCTGCCGCTGACGTTGTCGCTGATTCTGTCGCTAATGCCGCCACCGCCACTGCCGCTGACGCGGTTACCGCCACTGCCGCTGCTGCCACTGCCGCTGCCGCTGCAGCTGATGTTGAAGCTGACACTAACACCGCCATTGCCATAGACGTTGACACCGCTACTGCTACTGTCGCAATCTTTGACGCCACTCCTGCTGCCGCTGACGCCAATACTGGTTCCACCGCTGCCGATGACGCTGCCGCTGGCGCTAACTCTGATGCCACTACTGGTTCCGCCACTGCCGACGACGCTACCGCTGTCGCTGCCGCTGCTGCCACCGCCGTTGCAGCTGCTAACGACGCCGTGAGCGCCACTGCCGCTGACGTTGTCGCTGATTCTGTTGCTAATGCTGCAACCGCTACTGCCGCAGCCGCTGACGCTGTTACCGCCACTGCCGCTGCTGCCACCGCCGCTGCCGCTACCGCCGCTGCTGCCACCGCCGCTGCAGCTGATGCTACCGCCGACACTGATACCGCCATTGGCACAGACGCTGTCGTCGCTTCTGCTACTGTGGCTATCGCTGACGCCACTCCTGCTGCCGCTGACGCCAATACTGGTTCCACCGCTGCCGGCGACGCTGCCGCTCCTAACGACGATGTAACCGCTACCGCCGCTGCTGCCACCGCCGCTGCAGCTGATGCTACCGCCGACACTGATACCGCCATTGTCACAGACGCTGTCGTCGCTTCTGCTGCTGTCGCTATCACTGACGCCACTCCTGCTGCCGCTGTCGCCAATACTGGTTCCACCGCTGCCGGCGACGCTGCCGCTGCTAACGACGATGTAACAGCCACTGCCGCTGCTGCCACTGCCGCTGCAGCTGATGTTGAAGCTGACACTGACACCGCCATTGCCATAGACGCTGACACCGCTACTGTTGACTGGTATATGCAGCGGGTATATACATATGTAAATGCGACGTTTCATGATGGAAATTAAAGTTTATGGATATATCTATGTGTAATAACTTTAGTTTAGCCAGATAGCCAGACAGACTAATCGTCTAGTTTATGTGTATATGGGCTGAAGAGAGCTGTTGGCCCTTGTTCTCCATGTTCTCACGTTATCAAAACGTCGCTAGCAATGTTTTTGCGTTTTAGCAACGTTATTTTCCAACGTTGTGGGAACATCGAAAAGTCACACAAATCTACTTTCCCAGAACGTTACACAGACCGGCTTCGTTGTGCGAATGTTCCCAGAACGTGATTGGGCTAACTGGGGATCTTACGATAGCTTTTCTATTCGTAACAACTAACGATGATTTCAATTCTTATTTTTAACTACTGACAGTCCAATATCTGATAATTATTGTTATCATTAGTTTATATATTACTCAAACTGCATATAAGAAGTAACAGGGGCGTAGCTAACTTTGCCTGGGGTGAGTCGGGGACGACGTATGTTCTGGGCAGTTGACCGTGAGCGATTCTCCACTGATCATGTGGTTGTATCTACCTTTGTTTGGGGCAACTGCCTTCCTTGCGCGCCCACCCTTCTAGCTACGGCTCTTATAGATATGTAACCGTTACAGTAAACAGTGAATAAAATGTAACAGTGCGAATAGAATTTCGTCCGTTTACTCACGTAGTTTCGATAACACACTCTATCTACTACATGGCATCTACATAGCTTATATACTACATGGCATCTACATAGCTTATATACTGCATGGCATCTACATAGCTTATATACTGCATGAGCCTCTGCGTGGGTTATATTCTGGGAATGATAAGTGCAAAAATGAGACATCCCGAATGACTGCAATTTCTGTTAACACATCAACTAACATAGCAGTTCAATAAAGGTTCAGGTAATAATAAGTAAGATATTATACAACAGATGTTGATCAAGCGTGTTTTTACATTTCCGTTGCATTATTTTGATAAACAATGTATAATAAACCATATTATTTATGGAGAGAACGATGTACTTCTAGCCCAACCATACAAGCCTACAATTTCTTAATTATCATGACATTAGCATTTATTTCACTAGTTTCTGTCAGCATTCTCACAGAACGTTCTAATTGCCCGTGATTACTCAGCTGGAGCTAGGACTGTAGCATAGTATCAAAAAGAATCAAGGCACAGTAGAATGTCTACTAAATATGCCTATTACTCAGTATAATATAATTGATTTCTATGGTCATAGTACAACATATAAACTAACAGGAATATGTGGTAGCAGGTACAAATCAAAATATAATATGAAATAACGAGTTAATTGTTAGTAGTGCTACCTTACACAGTGTACATACAAAACTGATGAGAAATATAATCATGAGTGACTGCGGCTACCCCGCAGATAGTTGCAGATGGTTCACCCTGCAGTGAAGTTATTTTCCCATTGAGTCTGATTATCATATACCATCATATATATCATTACATATACCATCTGGATTCATGATCACGAGCTTTTTGAATATCTCAGACCTTGAACAGTAACAGAGAGAATACAAGTAGTTCTAATGGCTGGAAGAAGAAGCTCCCACATCTGCATTTGTGGATTCCTCAGATGATTCCTCAGATTTAGTGCATCCTTCAGTTTTCATCACTCCACACACTTCAGCGCTCGTGCCAATTACTTGGCTATCTCCTATTGGCTTTTCACAGTCCACACTGGCTTTCTTTAATACATCTTCTTTTTCCTTTTCATTTTCGTTGTTATCTCCACCTTCCTTCTGGCACTTCTCTTTTGCTTGCTCCTCTTTCAGCCTCTCTAAAACTGCCTTCTTAACCTCACGTCCAATCGCTGCTGCCATTGGTGGTGGAACCGCATTTCCAACCTGCAAGTCCATATACGTTAATGTACTTTACATTTTATAGTGCAAGAACAGGAAGGAAAACTTCATGCCATCAGTACCAAGAAATATTAGCTACCTTATCCAATAAAGTAAGCAATACATCTGCATAAATCATGCACATTCCTCTCCCCAAGCTTAACATTCTCCCTTTCCTGTAACCCCCTTCCCTCCTCTACTTTCTACCCTCTCTACCCGTTCCACACATCTAACTCCATCACTTGTGTTTGGGCATTGGTCACTAGGTGGGGGTCACTATAACTAGCATGATTGTACAATTTTGTAGTGCTTCTATATTAGTGACAGTAGGAATTTGGTGACCTTGCTGGATTTTAGTGCACTATTGGGTTTGGCATACTTTAATCAATCACAGAGCAACTTGCAGAAACTAAACTAACAATTTTACATGTATAAATAAACTTAAAATAGATGTAACACACAGATATAGATAGGGGCTGATTTCCAATTTAGTGGAAATTTGTAAGAATTATATAACCTTGTTTTTATATCATAATAGCGTTACAGAACGAATCTGAATAATACAGCGCTGTCACCTGATCCTGACACTTACCTGCCTGTGTTTCTCCAGAACATTTCCAAAGAACCTGTAAGTGTCTGGGAATCCCTGAGAGCGTGCACACTCACGCACACTCACAACTCTGTGCTGCTCCGGATGTAAGACTCGACCCTGCAGGCAGGCACAGAATAAGTGAAAAAATTCATCGGGGCAACAGGGTGATTCGTCTCCATCTCCCCACTACAATCACCTCCATAAAACATGAGAGCTAAAACAAAGAGGGGTTCCCTTAACTCCTACATTTACACTTCTAATGAACAGGAAAGGACTAAAAATGAAAAATTTTGAGGGAATAAAACGTCACAGGTGCACACTAATTTTGCATACTCAAAGACTAACTAGCCGACACCCTAAACTGTCACGCCCGCAAATGCACTTGCTGAATGCTACGTGACAGTCATGCAGGTAATAAAAGGACATGTTCTTTACACTAGCTATGCTAGCATACATGCACTACATCTGCAAGTGTCATTCATATGCATTTTACACTTCACATGCTGAAATGGGTAAGAAATTCATTGTGGAGTAATTCTGGTGCAGCTTGGTAATTTGTCACATGTGTCAATGTCACATGTCATTTGTCAAAATCCTCCAAAGATACCAAAAAGATTACAAAGAAGCAAGTTACTATGATGCTTAAATTTCTCAGAATGGACTAACAATCTTTATGATACATTGTACATTTCACATAGTAATGCATGTCCCAAAGTAGACACGTGGACAATAATTTAGCTGGCTATTACACTTTCTCAGTGCATACGCGTAGCATGAGAAATTGAACTATATACCATGTCCATATTAAAGTAGAGTGTACACAATTTCATTGATAGAATAGGGGTTAGTGCGTAAACACAAAGAAAACTAGAGCACTCGGAGAGCACAGACCTCCGCCAAGGCAGCTGAATTCTCTCAATGTGAAATTTTTTATTAATTAAGTGGAAAAATTAATTAATTAATTAAATAATTAATTGGATCCGGATTAGTGCGAGCGTGCAGGTGGGGGAGGACTGTGGTTGCCCCTTAGCCTGTGGTTGCGTGTTTGTAAGTCTACAGCCAGCGCACCTAGCGGAAGTACGTGAACTGAAACGTGCATGGTAACACAAACACACAAACCAACTCAAAAACTCGCCGGTGAAAACATAACCCCCGCCATGCCCCTGGCGGAGGTAATTAAGCATTATAAAATAGCCCCTTGCCAAACTCAAAACATCCCTTGTAAAATGCTTCATGAGGCCCGTTTTTCCCCCGAGAACATACGAAAAGCTGTCTCATGATAAAAAAACCAATTTCACAGCCAAGCTCTTCTCTTGTATTTCCTACGTAGGAGTCATCAACATATAGTACAACAATAGTAGGATGGTACACAGTTTGAACATATGAACAGCTTTTCATATGTTCTCAGGGGAAAACGGGCCTCATGAAGCATTTTACAAGGGATGTTTTGAGTTTGGCAAGGGGCTATTTTATAATGCTTAATTTTTTTTGTGTTTACACACTAACCCCTATTCTATCAATGAAATTGTGTACACTCTACTTTAATATGGACGTCATGGTATATGGTTCAATTTCTCATGCTACGCATATGCACTGAGAAAGTGTAATAGTCAGCTAAATTATTGTTGACAAAGAGGAACTCCTCTCTCTCTCTCCCTGTCTCTCTCTCTCTCTCTCAATACCTGTTTGCCCATTGGTTCTGGATTAGTGACTGTGGTGCTAAAGAAACCATCCCATTCTAGCCGACCGTAGAGCCCTGCCCAGTGGTTGTGCCTTGAAAAAAAAAGGTTCACATTTTTGATAATATAAATAAATGAATATCAACATAATTATACATTTAAAGAATAAAAACTTCATAGAATTAAAAATAATTCTCTGCAACAAACTATAAATTAAATGGTATAAGTTGATCCTAATGTAATTGAAATTTAATATAATTATATGGATGAAATTCACTGGTTTTTACCGGTTTCCTGTATGTGGTAGGCACCATGGTATGATAGTGCCAAATTGCCTATCCATGGGGTCACATGACTTGCCTTCTGCACAAGCACAGACGCCGCGCAGTTCTCCATTGTCACTCTTACCATTTTTTTTGTCACTGTGTGTATAGCGCCTGTAAGAGAACAGAGTGACTCCTCCATAAATGAATATAATGCCTGATATCTACGGTACAATGTTTTGTCTTTAAGCAATGACAGTCATTAAACAATGTAGTTGTAACCGATTTCTGCGATCATTATTGAATACGAATCGATTAAATATTACATGTTAATGCATGGGACTAGTGGCAGACAAACTCACAGTTTCTTGGTCATTGTTCCATCTGGAAGACGGACAGAAACATTGGGAAGATCTCGCCAGTCAGAACCAGGAGCCAGTGGAATATGGCGCATCCTGGCAGCAACAAGAGAGTTCATCTCCTTGCAGATGTGGTCTCGGAGAATTGGTTGGTACTGGTTACCACGCATCTGGTTGATGGACAAAAACAATAGCAATAATTTCTAACATAATACTTCACATTCAGCCGTATACCAAGATATACAAATGTGCAGCTATTACTCCAGAGCCAGCCTTGAATATTACAGCTAGTCAAATCTATAGGAAAATTTAGAACATTTGGTCATTGCCCAAAAACTAGTTGAAAAAACAACCACGTCTGCTGCTGACTCGGCAGTCGGTCCCATTTTATAAACAATGTATATGGAATGCCATGAAACAATATGAAGGCGAAGTGACAGGCAATTGGCAGTCTCATATATTAAAGGGACAGTAGCCTCTAGGATTTTACTGCATACAACTGTACAACGAATCGTCTACAGTCTACACCCACACGTATTTGTTACCAGATACCTAATTTAATTGTTATAATTATTTACACATCAACGCTACGAAATTTGAGTGGCGCCATGACACCCGCGACCGTGCTGCCACCCCGAAAGTTGCGTATTTGACAATTTATTTTGCAGGTTACAGACCGAGGGCTAATCACAAAAGTGCAATTATATTTATACCTAAATGCTATTTAACCGAACGATATTCATTTTAGGGCAAATTGATCCATATTATAACTGAAACTATATGTCGTTTATAAGATATTACAATCCTTTTGCTTTTATAGCTGACGCTGACGCCACTACTGGTTCCGCCACTGCCGGCGATGCTACCGCTACCGCTGACGCTGACGCCACTATAGATTCTGCCACTGCCGGCGACGCTGCCGCTGCCGCAGTCGCTGTCGTCGCCGCAGGCGCTGCCAACAATTTTGTTACCGCCACTGCTGCTGCTGCTACCGCCGCTGCAATTAATGCTGCCGCTGACGTTGTCGTTAATGCCGCTACCGCCACTGCCGCGGCCGCTGCCGCTGACGCAGTTACCGCCACTGCAGCTGTTGCCACTGCCGCTGCCGCTGCAGCTGATGTTGAAGCTGACACTGACACCGCCATTGCCATAGACGTTGACACCGCTACTGCTACTGTCGCAATCTTTGACTCCACTCCTGCTGCCGCTGACGCCAATACTGGTTCCACTGCTGCCGGCGACGCTGCCGCTGGCGCTAACTCTGATGCCACTACTGGTTCCGCCACTGCCGACGACGCTACCACTGTCGCTGCCGCTGCTGCCACCGCCGTTGCTGCTGCTAACGACGCTGTGAGCGCCACTGCCGCTGACGTTGTCGCTGATTCTGTTGCTAATGCTGCCACCGCTACTGCCGCAGCCGCTGACGCTGTTACCGCCACTGCCGCTGCTGCCACCGCCGCTGCTGCTACCGCCGCTGCTGCCACTGCCGCTGCTGCCACCGCCGCTGCTGCTACCGCCGCTGCTGCCACCGCCGCTGCAGCTGATGCTACCGCCGACACTGATACCGCCATGGTCACAGACGCTGTCGTCGCTTCTGCTACTGTCGCTATCGCTGACGCCACTCCTGCTGCCGCTGACGCCAATACTGGTTCCACCGCTGCCGGCGACGCTGCCGCTGCTAACTACGCCACTCCTGCTGCCGCTGACGCCAATACTGGTTCCACCGCTGCCGGCGACGCTGCCGCTGCTAACGACGATGTAACCGCCACTGCCGCTGCTTCTACCGCCGTTGCAGCTGATGCTACCACCGACACTGACACCGCCATTGCCACAGACGCTGTCGCCGCTGCTGCTACTGTCGCTATCGCTGACGCCACTCCTGCTGTCCTTAGCGCTGACGCTGACGCCACTCCTTCTGCCGCTGGCGCTAACTCTGACGCCACTACTGGATCCGCCACTGCCGACGACGCTACCCCTACCGCTGCCGCTGCTGCCACCGCCGTTGCAGCTGCTAACGACGCTGTGAGCGCCACTGCCGCTGACGTTGTCGCTGATTCTGTTGCTGATGCTGCTACTGCTACTGCCGCGGCTGCTGACGCTGTTACCGCCACTGCCGCTGCTGCCACCGCCGCTGCAGCTGATTCTGACACCGCCACTGCCTCTGTCACTACCGGCGACGCTGCCGCTGCCAAGGACGCACGTGGCGGACTACGCGGACGACGGGGCCAACGACGTCGCGCTGGTAACACGCGCGATGCCAGGGCCGTCGTCTCCGCCTTCGCCCTGCTCAGCCGCGCTGTTGCTACCGTCGCCATGGCCGACGCTCCGCCTGACGACGCGAGGGTCGCCGAAGATACCGCAGCGCCGCCGACGATGCCGGATGTCGTCGCGCCGACCGTGCGCAAACACAGCGACGACGTGCTGTCGTCGGGCGCCGTGCGAGCGACGAGGGCGGGCGGGAGGCGCGTGCGACCGGGGCGCAGCAAGGCGCGCCACGCCGCCACCAAGCGTCGCACGTAGAGCGAGGTGCTGCTCCCTACCGGCAGCACTAGCTTCGGCAACAGAGGGAACATCTTCTCGCCAATAGGGAGAGAACTGAACATTACGACAGAGTCGAGTCGGGAAGGATTTGTTATTCTGAGAGGGCAGAGATTAGAGACTGATAATTTGTAATAGTAGCACTGTCTGTATAATTATGCCTGATGCGATTTTAACTGATTTCCGATCAGGTTTCATAATTACATTCACGAGCCACCTCTCTGATATCATGATATATTACATAATCTTAATCTATGCATCTTTATATCCACATATATATTTTTGCACTGTAATTTTATTCAGTAAGACTTCGCCTGAATTTCTCGCTGGAAATGGAATTTGTACATTGAATATTTGCAATAAATGACGATTATATAAAGTGATCACATAATTACTCTTTCTTTCTCTCTCTCACTCTCGCTAGCTCTACAGTAGCTATTGATATCTGCGGTAGATATGTACATTCGTATATATATTATTTGTACATATCGTATATATTACGTACTATTACTTAGGTCGTACTGCACGCCTGCAACGGTGCTCGCGCATGCGCACTATCCTTCGAGAATATTATAATATTTTGCAAAAATTATAAATTGAAAATGAAGAGGGGTCATTCTAGCATAGATTGATATGACAAAATTCCACCATTAGACATCATTTAAGAAATAGGAAGCAGACCTTGCATGTAGGGTTCCCGCTGCATGTACCATTAAGTACATAACCTGACTACGTTACTGTTTTAGCGCATGCGCCATATCTCACCAGAGGTGTTTTATTTCGTGATGAAAATGCATTTAGTATGATCAGGGGGTATCTCAGCATCGATTTCTGTAATAAATTATTATCGTTAGACTTGTGTTTATAGTTAGGAGAGCGCCTTAGCCTGTAGGGTGACAAACCTTTACTTCATTCTCGCAGGCCCTTTCCCTTGTCTTTTTTTGTCGCACGCCCAGCCTCCTTCTTCTTCTACCGCCCCTCGACTGTCTTTCCTGCCAACTTCCCACAGTTTTCCATCCCTCTCTTCCTCGGCAAGCTATATATACGTACTTTTCCTTTGGCCGTACTGCACGTCTGAAACGGTGCTCGCGCATGCGCAATATCTCCCGAGAAGAAGAATATTTTGCAAACATTATGAATTTAAAATAAAGACGAGTCATCCTAGCATAAATTTACATGATAAATTTGTATAAGTAGGCCTCACTTCAGAAATAGGAAGCAGACCTTGCATGTAAGATTCCCGCTGCATATACCATTAAGTACATAATCTGGCTACGTTACTGTTTAGCGCATGCGCAATATCTCACCAGAGGAGTTTGGTTTTGTTATTAAAATGCATTTAGTATGGTCAGGGGGTATCTCAGCAGAAGTATCTGTAATAAATTCTTATCAGTAGACCTGTGTCTATAATTAGGAGAGCGCCTTAGACTGTAGGGTGCAAAACTCCTACTTCATCCTCGCCTGCCCGTTTCCTTGTCTTCCTTGTTGCACGCCCAGCCTCCCTCTTTTTCTACCGCCCCTCGACTGTCTTCCCTGCCACCTTCCATCAGTTTTCTACCACTCTCTCCCTCGGCAAGCTATATATACGTACTTTTCCTTTGGCCGTACTGCACCTCTGAAACGGTGCTCGGGCATGCGCAATATCTTCCGAGAAGAAGAATATTTTGCAAACATTATAAATTTACAATGAAGAGGCTTGGAGTCATCCTAGCATAGATTTATATAATAAATTTGTCTAAGTAGACCTAACTTCAGAAATAGGAAGCAGACCTTGCATGAAAGGTCCCCACTGTATATACCAGTCAGTACATAACCTGACTACGTACGTTACTGTTTTAGCGCATGCCCAATATCTCGCCAGAGGAGTTATTATTTATGATGAAAACGCGTTTAGTATGGACAGGGGATATCTCAACATAGGTTTCTGTAATAAATACTTATCAGTAGACCTGTGTTTATAGTTACGAGAGTGCCCTAGCCTGTAGGGTGCAAAACTCCTACTTTATATCCGCTCGCCCTTCCCTTTGTTTCCATTGACGCACGCTTAGCCTCTTTCTCCTTCCACCGCCCTTCGACTGTCTTCCCTGCCACCTTTCCTCAGCTTCCCACCCCTCTCTTCCGCAGCTAACTATATTTACGTACGTTTTCTTTGGCAGTACTGCACGTCTGAAACGGTGCTCGCGCATGCGCAATATCTCGCGAGAATAATAATATTTTGCAAACATTATGAATTTGAAATGAAGATATAGAGGTTATCTTAGCATAGATTTATGGACCCATATATATATTTTGTCGATATAGTCACGTAGACACCGCATATAATGAAGTATGAAGTATTCGCTTTCTCTTTGAATTAAAACGTTGATCAAGCAGAATTTCACACGAACATGCATCACATTTTACGTAGTTCGCGTTTCCCATTCACTGAAAAAATCCACTGTGTGGTAAATAAACCATGAGATATGACCATCATTTACTCAGGCACGGCTGTGGCTCTATATTATTGAGTAAAGATATAACCAAAAAACCTTCGTAATTTGAAAATTAATGAACGTAGGAAAAGTGCAATATATGGATTACGAAGAGAATGTGATATCGATAACAACTCAGAATCACTAAAAATCACAAAATA